CTGTGGTCACCAGTCCTCCTGCACCACCAGGTTGGGACTCTAAACCAGGCCAGTCTCCTTCTCTGCCTCCTCCATCTGACTTCTACCCTATTTGACCTCAGAGAATCCCAAACTTAGTTTGAATGGACCAAGCCCCTCACTGAAGCCCAGAGACAGAAAGGAGCTGGTCTGGGTCATACAGGAGGTGTCTGGGAGTCTAGAACTTAGCCTCCTGACCACCAGGCTTTGAGGGCCCTCAATGGCCTGAGCTAAAGGGCGAATGTCTGGCAGCAGGAGGTATATGGGTACAGGGCAGAGGGTAGGGGGCTCTTTCTGTCTCCCTCAGTTAGGAGGAACTGGGGAGAAGGCTCCTCTTCCTCTCAGGACTTCATCCCCATTCACAGGAAAATGAGGGTGGCAAAGGGAAGGGAGAGAGGGGACATTCAGAGCAGCGCTGGCCACAGGCTCAGTCTGAGAGCCCCAGAGATACTCAGACACCAGCTTTCCTCCCTCTTTGGACAGATGTGTGACCAAGTGACCGGGCAAGAATTGGTGTCTGAACCGGGCCTGGAAGGAAGTGGGATAAAGATTACTGGGGAAGGGCAGGTGGTTCCCTGTGCCCTGTAACAGGCAGGAATTACTGGCTCAGATGATGTGTGTCTATAGGAGTAACTACAGTGCTGGGAGCCTCTCCCCGGGCTCTACGCACAGATAGGGGAGGAAAGGTGGCCCTTGCTGTTGGTACATTTCTTACCGCCCCCCCCCCGGAGGAGACTGGGGGGCGGCGGTCCTAGGGGGATGGTGCTCCAGGCAGAAGGCACAGCTGCTCAGACACAGAGGCAGGGGCCAAGGGCAGCATGGATGGTCTAAGGCAGTTCTAGTTTGCTCTGGGCTGGGTTGCCTCTGACCCTTCAGTCCAGGTCAGCACCATGCTCACCCCATGTGGCCATCTTATGGGGACATACTTGAGTGGCTGCCACTTGGAGGTGTTGAGGATGTCCACTCTGGGAGAGTCTGGGAGAGCGAGTTGTGGACCGTGTTTGACATCCCCCCAGGAGAAGCCTACAGCCAGTCACAAGAACAAGACACCTCTGTAGGGAGCACGCACAACTGTTTCAATGGATCCTCAAAGGCCTGCTCTGCACCGGTGAGTCTGGGGCTCAGCCTGACCCAAGAGCCTGCCACTCCCACCTCAGTCACTGCCAAGTTCCAGCCATCTCTGTCATTTACTCAGCCAATCACTAGAGAAATGCTGAGCACAAACCACAAT